GGATTCTTATGAAAACCTTCCACCAGAAGGGCTCCGTTTGAGCCCCCACATGAAGGATTCATAGTGAAACCCCCCACAGAAGGATTCCAATCGAAACCCTCCACAGGAGCATTCCTATTGAAATCCTCCGAAGAAGGATTTGTAGCCAAATCATCCACAGAAGGATTCCTATTGAAAACTGCTGGAAGACAGGAATCCCGCCATCGGCATTGCAGTGGTATTGGTTTGGCAAAGGTTTGGCATCGCATTGGCATTGCGTTGGCATTGCGATGGCAGTGCTTAGCAGTACGTTGGCATTGCGCCTACATTGCGCTGGCGAGTCCTACTTAAGCACTTCACAGAAGGATTCCTATTGAACACCCCCACAAGAAGGATGCCTATTGAATCCCCCCCCACAAGAAGGATTGAAATTGAAATCCTCCACAGAAGGGTTCCATGCGAAGCCCTCCACAAAAGGTTTCCTATTGAAATCCCCCGAAGAAGGGTTCTTAGAAGGATTCCTCTGTGGATGACATCACCCACAGAAAGGTTCTTAGAAGGATTGCTATTGAAATCTACCACAAACGATTCCCCCCATTGGGGTTGCGTTGGCATCAAATTGGCATCGCCTTGGCTTTGGTTTGGCATTGCGTTGGCACTGCTTTGGCATTGCGCTGGCGAGTTCTAGTGGCCCCCACCACAGAATAATTCCAATAAAAACCCTCCACAAGAAGGGATCTTTTTGAAAGCCCCCCATGAAGGATTCATAGTGAAACCCCCCACAGAAGGATTCTAACCGAATCCCTCCACAGGTAGGATTCATTTTGGAATCTACCACAAAGGATACCCCCCATCGGGATTGCATTGGCATTGGATTGGGATCGCCTTGGCATTGGTTTGGCATTGCGTTGGCACTCCGTTGGCATTGCGTTGGCATTGCGCTGGCGAGTCCTAATGGCTCCCTCCGGAGACGGACTCCTATCGAAACCCTCCACAAAAAGGATTTCGATTGAATCCTCCCACAAGAAAAATTCATAGTGAAACCCTCCAAAGGAAGATGCCTATCGAAGCCCTCCACAGAAATTTTCCTATTGAAATCCTCCGAAGAAGGATCCGTAATGACATCATCCATAAAGGATTCGTAATGGAATCCACCGAACGAAAGGATTCCCCCACTGGCATTGCATTGGCATTGGCATTGATTGGCAATGAATTGGTATCGCATCGGCATGCATTGGCCTAGTGCAGGAGATAGACAGAGAGAGACAAAGAGAGAGAGAGAAGACGAGAGAACGATGTAACGAGAGAAGAATACTATGAGGGGATCACGGCGACAAGAAACATGACAAAAAACAATCGAAGTTTAAGGGCGAAGGAGCGCTTCATTGATGAAAACCATCTGAAAACGACGAGGGGCTCCACAGCCCCCCAGCCTCACCTCCTCCGACCCCCCCTCTGGCCGGGCGCCACGCGGAGCCGCGCCGCGGAGGGGCCGCTCCGCTCGCGCGCAGCGCCGCAGGCGACCTGCCCGGGGGCCAGCTGATGCTCACCTCCGACGTGGAGAACTTCCCCGGCTACACCGAGGCGCCGCGGGGGGGGCCCCGGCTGGCCGCCCTCGGGGGAACGAGCCACGACGGGAACATCAGCTCTCGGAGGTCCGCGCGGATTCCTCTCGATCGGCGCCGGGGTCCCTTGACGGCGCCGTCGGCGCCGCCCCTGGCGCCGGAGGCGTGCCAGGGAGGGTGGTCCAGCGCCGATCCGAGAAATCCGCGCGGACCTAAGAGCTGTGATATGTATGTCGTTGTTGATTCCCCTGGCTCTACTGGAGGCCCCACTGGCAGGGTGTCTGGAGGCTTTACTGTGCTTTTTCCGGAGGCCTTCCGAGCAGAGCCCATCTCGGTCAGATCGATCCAATTCGATATCGATGTTGGTTTGCCCGATCCGATTCGATTCCGACTGTGCGATGCGGGCCGATGTTTGCACAGCGCTGTTGTTAGTCCCGGCTTTGTCGATCCGATTCGATTCTAGTTCCGTGCCGATGCGGCCTATTATCTTCGACTAGATGAACCTCAAATGTGTTACGCAGTTTCCTTGTCGATGTGATGTTCTGGGTTTGGGTGACATTGCGTGCCAAGTACTTGTCAGCGCCCCCTCTCCAGTGTCGGCCACCGTGAAACTTCGGAGTCACACGTGCTCAGGCCGCGGTTCGCTCTGCGTCGACATTGAAAGGGTGCGACATTGAAGAGGGGCGTCAACCGTTTGTGGAGTTAGTTTTGTCGAGGGTTGGCCGTGATAAAAGAATGCGACGGAGAAGTGCCAGGCGGCTCCTGCCGCATTCTCTGGACTGGGTACGTCACAGTGAGGCTGGCGGGGCAGTGGCGGCGAGGCCGACGACGATGACGACGTCGATGATGATTTATCACAGCTCACTGCTCCGTGCGCGCGCCTGGAGGCTACGCCCCCCAGGCGCCCTTCGCCCGGTCCTTCTCGGCGTGGCACGGGTGCCACAGGCAATCCGCTCCGTCCGCGTCCGCCCACGCGGCGGCGCGGTGCAGGCCGACGGCGCCGCCGCCGCCGGCGACGGCGGCGACGGCGGCGGCGGCGGCTGGTTGGCGGCCTGGCGGTGATCGGCCGCGGCCCGCGGCCTCCCGTGGGCCAGGCGGTGGGGGGCCCGACTCTGATGGAGGACCTGCGCAAGCAGGCGGAGAAGTTCGGGGCCGAGGCGCCGCCGAGCCGGCGCGGCGGCGGCGGCGGCGGCGGCCACAGCGGCGGAGGCGGCCGCGAGGCCGTGGCCCCCTGCTCCCTCCTCGTGCTTCCTCCCCCCATCCTTCCCTTCCCCTCCAGTGCCTTCTCCGCACCCAGGGGGAGGGGGAGGAGGAGGGCGAGGCGGAGGAGGGGGAGGGGGAGGGGGAGGGGGAGGAAGAGGAAGAGGAAGAGGAAGAGGAGCAAGAGGAGAAGGAGGAGGAGGAGGAAAACAAGAGGAGGAGGAAGAGGAGGAAGAGGAGGAGGAGGAGGAGGAGGAGGAGGGGGAGGAGGAGCATCAGGAGAAGGGGGAGTAGGAGTGGTAGGAGGCGGGGGGAAGGGAGGAGGCGGAGGGAAAGGAGTAAGGCGACGCAGGACACAGGTATCGAGAAAGCAGGCGAGCCGCCAGCCGCGAACTCTCCAACCTGAACACGGAGGACCGCAGGGCCGCGGACGCACGAAGCTTGGAGCCCCGCACGATCAGAACACCGTGCAGGCCAAGGCGCACGGCACGCACTCGCACAGACACGTCAGCGCACAGGCGCAGCACCGCGCAGGAGGAGAAGGGGGCGCAGGGACCCTGCTGGGCCCCGCTGCGCTATTGTAGCCAGCCGAGGCACGGGAGCGGTTGTGGAAATATGGTTTGCCGCATCGCGCTGAGCCAGGTTGCCTGCCGGTGCCCGTGGTTCCCTCGCCACGGCATCGCACGAGGAAGAACAAGCGGGCAGGGAGCAGCGGCAGCAGCAGCAGCAGCAGCACCGACCGCACGGAGGGCCTCCGCCGCTCGCGCCCCGCAGGTGCGCGAGCAGACCGTGACGGCCGTGGACCTCTCGGTGCGGCCCTTCCGCGTTCGGGTGCCCTCCAAGGCCGCTGGGGACCGCCTTCGTCGCCGCCGCCGCCGGCATGGTCGCCGTCGGCGTCGTCAGACGTCGTCGCCGCCGCCGTCGCCGTCTGTCGTCCGTCGCTGGCACTGTCGCCGTCGTCCCTCCGTCGTCTGTCATCGTCGGTGTCGTCATCACCGTCGCCGTCGTCCGTCGCCGCCCGTCCGTCTTCGTACTTCATACGTCGTCGTCGTCGTCGTCGTCGTCGTCCCTCTTCTCCTCGAAGCCTCGAAGCTGCAGGCACTGGGGTCTGCGCTAGACGCTGCCATCCTCCCTCCTCCTCCACCTCCCTCCTCCTTCTCATCCTCATTATCGTTATCCTCCCCCTCTTCCTTATCGCTGTCCTCCATGATCATCATCCCCCCATCCTTCTCGTCCCCGCACCCTTTCTTTTTTGGAAACAGTCCTCGAACGTTAACTCCTTGCCCCAAAAAATCCGCCGTCGTCGTCCTCCTCCTCCTCCTCCTCCTCCTCCTCCTCAGCATCATCATCCGGATCATCATCAACATCATCACCATCATCATGAAAGTCATCATCAACATCAGCATCAGCATCATCATCATCATCCACATCTTCCATAGGCATGTGGGATCAAGGTTCATTGCTGCAGCGCGCAACCAGCGGATACCTATGTTTCGAGGCTTGACAAGGCGATTTCGCCTGGCATTCTTTTCCCCAGCCAGAACTGCACGGGCTCCTGGCGGCCCGATGGGCGTGTTTTCTTGTCCCTCCCCAGTCTCGCGTTGTGGGACAAGACACCCCGTTCAAGACGGGGCTCCTCCTGCACATCGCGAGCAGCCTCGTGCCGCAGTATTCCCCGCAAGGCGAAACAGAGACAGATGCTGGCTTCGTCTTGGTGCTGCAAGTGGCGCAAGCCTTTCGCCACTGCGTGCACCTTGGGGCGAGCAGAGGTGCGGGCAGTGCGACCAGTTTGCGCGCACCGCACATCCACTCAGGTTGCTGCGCGCCTCTGCCTGTGACCCGACCCTGCAGCAGCAAGGCGCTGCGGCCAGATGTTCCTGAGCCCGCGCCGGACAAGTTCCAGCCTGTCAGAGTTTCGCTTGCTGCTGAAGACGCCACACTAGCTCGATGCACGCAGCCCCCCTCTACACGTGTTGCCTTGTGCGGCGCGGGGAGGACGGTTGAGCGGGAGGTGGAGCGACACCGTGAGCTCGGCCCTGATGCGGAACGTCATGGCGGGGCCATCGTCTGCTCGGAGTGTGGCGCGTTCGTCGTGGACCATTGGGGGGAGCCCCAGGCTTCCGAGCGCGTGCAGAGGTCGCCTCGCAGGTCGCCTCTGCGCGGAGCGGCGGGATGGGCGCAGGCTTCCGGGGCCCGCTGCGGGCCACACACCTCAGGACGAGGGCCTCCCTGGCCCGCCCAGCCCGCGGCGCCGGG